CCCGAGAAGCATAATCAAATGGGAGCATAAATTTAGTCTAAGCAATGTTTCTTATAGTTCCCCTACAACACAGAAGGTACACTTTGAATAGGCATGCTGCATACAATATAAATAATATGAAAGATTGCTTAGACTTCATCTAATTCAAAATCTTACATCAATTTGATTCGCTTATGGTTTGAAGCAGTATTCCTAATCCCTTTCCTGGTCACAGAAAATGGAGCTGATGCTGATTTCAGAGAAGGCGACTTGTCTATGTGTGCATTTCGTTCATCACCGTTCCAATACAGTATGACTCGGTTTGTGCAACAATGTGACCAGCTATCACCTAGACAGTATAATGAAACAGGAAACTGTCAAGGACTCTCAGGGAAGCCAAGTGATTACGGAAAGTACCATATTAACCATTCAACCAGTTGGAGTTGGAGGTGGGTTCTAACTGAGAACAGAACTTACCCAATGCAAGACTTAATTGGAATGAACCTTCTTTATGCTTAGTGGTCACTTGATTGAATATGACAACCTGTTCATTAAGAAGGAGATTTCAATTGTAGGAGCCGATTTCACATATCACCACGGGCTGCTAATTGCACAATAAAGTTAACGCGAAAAACGTTAAGGGCAACACATGTCCATATCAACACACACACAAACACTTACTATGGCAATCTAACAAGTAGAAGTAACTAACTCTGAAAAACATCAAACAGACTACAAGCAATAGCCTATACTAATTTGAAAATATAAACCATGCTCTAGTTGGGCACAGTAAATCTGTCCTAGATCTTGCTAAGAAACCTGTCAAATGATAATGGGATATTCCTTGCATTCAAATTACATCAACTTATCTGGCATCACAACATATATGATGAGCTCGCTAGTCTAGAGTTCTTTTCAAGAAATGAAAACCATTGCTTACCGCCAGATTATATTTATTTGCAAGGTTCATCAACTTTAAAGCCATTCCGCCAAGTAACCGTGTCCTGAGAGCCAAGTCCTCAAAATCTTGGCGGAAGTGAAAAGTAACACTATCAATAATCACAATCTTAACCTGAACATTGTTTGGAAGAAAGTTTAGTACTTCCAGTGATGAAAATTATATATAGTGCATGCAATGATAATCGAAAGGAGATCCAGTTTCAGCTAAAAGAAATATTAATAAAACTAAGCAAGGCTTAAA